GAAATTTTTTAGAACCCAGACAAGTCTCAGATTTGGAAAATTCTAATAAGAGCTGGAAGGAAGCAAACTGGAGAAAGAGCAGTGAATTCACTCTTGCAGACCTGGTCGCTCTTCATGCTGTGAGTGGTATCTAGTGACCAGAGAGTATTCAAGCACTCTTATTGACTGAGAATTGCATTAGTCAGCATATTTTCAGCATATTTCACATCTTTAGTATGCTTACTTAATTAAACATCAAAGGGTGCGTGAAAAATTAATATTCAAACAAAGCTTTGGATTAGTAACCAAATAAAAGCCACATGTTTCCCTTGTTGTTCTGCTGAGTGGTGATCACTATTTTATACAGTAGCCAGATGTCCAGCTTTGAGAGCATGTTACTCATAAAGAATAAAATCATCTTGATTTTCATGCAGGAACAAATATTTGGTCAGATCTGTCCATTACATTGATGCAGGAAAATCGATGAGCATGAAGTGTCGGAAACTAATCAATGCAGAGGCAACTAGGGAAGTGTCACACTCACTATGGAGTGAGGTAGAATGAAAAACAATGACTCTGGAGAAGAGAATCTGAGTTCAATCCCTCCCTTTCTCTTTAGCAGCTACTCAGCATTGACAAGTGGCCCTGGCACCTGGAAATCAGATTTTAAGCCTGAATAAAATAAATAATAATAATAAATAAAATAATAATAATAATAAATTAATGATAAATATATAATAAATAATAAATAATAAAATAAATAATAATAAACAAAATAAAATAATAACAATAAATATATAATAAATAATAAAAAATAAAATAAATAATAATAATAAATTAAATTAAATAAATTCCCCTGATGTGGCTGTGGTGAGAATGAAGCAGAATATAGTTAGGAAGTTGAAATGGGAACTTGTTAAAAGGTAGTTAAATGAAGTTCAATATCAGTGTGGTAATGATCCTTTGGGTCAAAATGGAATGAAAGGTCAATGGGACTGTGGCACCTTTGATCAGAATGTTGCTCATGGTTCTGGGACTCTATTGAATAAGACAAACCAATAGTCCAGGACCTGGACTGCATATAAGGAATGCATGTAAGTAGGCAAACCCTGAAACTGAGTCAGCTGTAGGAAATGAGGGAAAATCAAGGGAGTGATAAAGGAGAGATAAAGGATGTGGTGTGCATGTGAAGAGTGGTACTGTATCACAGATCAAATACCCAATCGAGCATCAGGAAGCTCCAATGTCAGGTCCTGATACCTGCATGGTGCATCCTTAGAGACCTTCAGGCCAGCCAACTAACAGTAAAGTGAGGGGCCAGCTTACAACCTTTCAAGACAATCTGTTCACATTCCTGGGTAGATGTTTTCATTAGGCCAGAAATGAAACATTCAGTTTTATTTGAGCTCTGATGGTTTTGAAACCATATAACACAGTCCCTATGGGAAGATTATAATTTTTTTGTTGTTATTTTTCAGAAGGGCCAATAAATCATTGCCGCATTTTTCTAACTTTCAAAACTTGGCTGTCTTTGATCATCTCTCTCTGCCACATTCCTTGCAAGGGAATATAAAATTGTGGTGACACTGTATTTTATGTACCATTATTTCTGCAGTGCCTAACACTGCCTGCACATTGTTTCTCAAAGTTCAATTCGATGGATATTTGGACGGATGGATAGGTGTTTGAATATGTTATTATTTCTCAGTGTAGATTATCATTTTCTGGCTTTCTTTTCAAGTCATCCTTCAACTTCTGTATATTTCATTGTCCCAGATTATTCATTCTCTTTCAATTGGCAAACTGGGGTCCCATCACCTGTTGACACAGAAACTGCCTTAAGTTTATTTTGGAAGGCAAATACTTCAAGTGCACATTTTACAGCATATAGACTGAAATAGATTATCAGGAAATGTTTATCACTATATCATTCTCATTCAGCAAGACTGAATATTTGTGACTCAAATGAAAATTTATTCATTTGAAGTTAGTTACCATTTGGCATCCATCAGGAATGAAGTCAGAGGAAATCCAGCCACACACCAAAGGGTTCCTGGACATACAAATCATGTCATGAACTCAATAGCTCCTTGCAATTACAGTGGGAGTGCTGTAGGCCAGGGGTCTATGACTTCAATGTTGCACATATGTGGCTGTTATTTAGAACTCTCCAAGGTATAGATTTACATTACCATCTGCCAGCTCAGTTGCTGTTTACATCTGCCTTAAAAGGGGGGTTGAGCATAATCAATTAAAGGGTGCATAGAAAGCTCTGGAAAAAACCAACAACAACCTGAACTTCAGAGAAGCACACAGGTCAATCTAAGGGAAAATAGGGAATTTATACACTCTTGGAAACTATTTCTTTTGAACTATAGGATTAAGTGACAAAAGAGTGTTTAAAAATCCCTAACACACTTCAGTATCTCTAAAGAGCCTCAGAAATAACCTCAACTATACAGGCTTTAAATGTAATTTAAAGAAAAATGAAATTTCATAATGATGAAAAACTTTTGCTCTACAAAAGACTCACATTTGAAAAGCCAAACTACAGATAGGGAGAAAACATTTGCAAACTTAATTTCTGATAAAAGAAATATAATCTGATATATCTAGATTATATATATAATATTTTCAAAACACAGTAAAAAAAAGCAATTCAATTAGCAAAAAAAAAAAAAATTCAAAAAACAATTCAATGGGTGAAAGACATGAAGAGAGATTTCACCAAAAAAAAAATACAGATCACAATAAACACATGAAAAGTTGTTTAACATCATTTTGGCCTTTATCTCCCCAAAATGAATACTTATGTTCACACTAAAGCTTGAACATACATAATAGCTTCATTTGTAATAGCCAAACACTAAGAACTACCCAGTTGCTCTATAACAGGTGAATGGTTAAACTTTGGCACGTGCCATGGAATACTACTCAGTGATAAAAAGGAACAAATTATTGATGCATGAAAGTAATTCAAATGAATCACCAGGAATAATGCTGAGAGAGGAAGGAAGTGACCCCAAGAGGTTATGATTCCATTTGTATTACATTTTTGAAATGACATTATTGAAATGGAGAACTGATTAGAAGCTGCCAGGAAGGTATAGATGTAGGGGAAGTAAGAAAAGGGAGGAGAAGGGGGGTGAATAATAAGGGTAAATGAAGGATATCTACGGATGTGCGACTGTGTTGTGTCTTGACTGTATCAATATCAACACTATGGTTGAGATATTATACTATGGTTTTGCAAGATGATACTATTGGAGGAAATTGCTGAAAGGATATACAAGAGTTCTCTGTATTATTTCTTATAACTGCATGTGAATCTGTAATTTTCTCAAAAAAGGGTTTAATTGTAACAAAGAATTGAAGAATTTGAGGAGAAATTATATTATTCCACTCGAGCTTTGGAATGAGAACACTTCTAACCCTTTGATCCATGAAGCTGTTGATAAGAAGGTAAAGCCAGCAGTTTGAAATAGAGAACTATTTCTAGGGACATTCCCCGGCATCCAGGGTCTCCCTTCCTAGCCAGGAGCATTACCATTTAGGCAGCCTCCATCTTTTTCCAGGAGGTTCCAATAATGACTAAGAAGATCTGGGAACTATCTCAAACAAGGAAGCCTATTCCCTAGTGATTGATTACCATGGCTTTTAAATAAATTCTCATTACAGGAGTCAAGTTCAGGATTTGTGGTTCAGTCCTATTATGGTTATTATAATTAATATGGTTCTGCCCTATTATTTGGGTTGCTAGTAAATAAAAAGGCATCAACCAACCAATGACTGGTAACTAATGGCTGCCCAGGACCTGTGCTGCATGAAACTTGAGAAGGAAAGGAGACAACACAGACAACACTTATTCCTCTTCTTGAGGACCTTCCCTGGCATCCTTGGTGGGTGCCCACTTGGCTAGGAGGTATCTGCAACCTTCCAGTTGGCAATGATTCCTCCCTTATCCCTGGACTGACCATCCTGCTGTTAATGCCCAGACCAAGGATTACAAACTTCTGCTCCTCCAAATCAGCACAGGACACTCTCCTGTGAGTTTTCCCAAAACACAGACCCTTCCTCTTTACTTGACAGTGCACCTGTGCATGCACACCACCCCCCCCCACACACACACACTTCTCACTCCCTTAACCATTCTTGGCCCCATGTCTTCCTGGAGTGCATAGGAATTCCAAAAGTTGAAATGTTTGATTTATTTCTTTTGAAGGTACACGTTTTCTTAACCTGCACACCCTAACCTAGATAGTTGGGGCTGCTTCCTTTGCCATGTGCTGTCCTGCTCCAGCAGTACTGAAGCATGGTTGAGGGTAAGGACTCGAGCATTCAGTTTCTCAATGCAAATCCCAGCTTTAATCACTTACTGGCAGTGAGACATGGGCTGGTGATTATGGACTGTGTGTCCCAATTTCTTCACCAGTGAAATGGGGGTGATGATAGCAGCTTATCTTTAAAGACTATTAAGAGATTAAATCAGTTAATAGATATAACGAAGAGTGAGTACTTTCTGCATGGGAGAACTTTTGTAAGTGTCTCTGTTATTAATCATCTCCTCTTACTATTATTTCTCATCTCCTCTTCATGATACTACTCTAAGAGTAGTGGTGAGTGGTGAGTGAAAGTATTCTGAATGTAAACATACATAGATTTGAGAATCAAAATTAGCTATGGCACCTATTGGACAAATTGTAACCTCTGTGTGCCTCAGTTTCCATATTTTCAAAGGAAGCCCAATAAATGGTCCCCAAATACATAGCATTGTTATGGGGATTAAAGGCTCTAGCTGATGTCTAAGTTTCTCCAGGCTGCATACCAGCTACTCAAAACACAACTCTGTGTATTGTATTTTTGTAATGGACAATTATTGCAGCTGGGAGTAGTGGCTGTGAGATTAGTCCTCGTTCCCTCTCCATCCCCCTTGCCCTGGCGCCTGAGAAACAGAGCATCCCCATGGCAACAGCTGCAGCTGGTCCCTTGATAAGAGAGCTGGAGCCAGGCAGCCTCAGCCACAGCCTGCAGAGGAGCTGGCCCAGCTTGGGGAGACAGCACACCCTCCCCATCTCTCACCTCCTCAGCCCAGCACCTGCTTTGATTGGTAAGTGCTTTAAGGAATTTTACTCCCCCAACTTTTGTGATGAGAAGAGCAAGTTTCCAATAAGTTAGTTTCTTTATGGTTGCTGGGACAAAGAAAATTGCAGCTGGTGCCTGGGATTGGGGGTTGGGGTGGGGTGGGCTGTGCTTTCCTGATGCAGACTAAGCTGCCACCAGATAAAGAGCAGGAAAAATCACCACTTAAGAGTCATTTTTGCAAGGAAGGTGAGAGTTCTGAGTTCTGTAGGAGTCCTTCTACAAATTAAATTGTGAAGTTTCCAGATGAACATTGTGGTATCTGCATATTACATAGCCTGTGGAGGTTGTGGGGAGGCTAATCTTCCCAGACTGAAGGTGGAGACTGAAATAAAGAGGGAAAATGTGCTTGGCAAAAAAACTTTGCAAGCCCTACTTTAAATAAGAGCTGCTCCTGGAGGAATATTGAAAATTTAGGTCTTCTATAAATGAACATATTTGATTTTAAAATATGGTGCTTTTTGACCTGAATTCAATCTTCCGGGTAAAATGAGATTTGACAAGGGATATGAATTTTCTGTTAACCAGACATCACATTGGGTTGTGGGCATAACCTTCTAACTTTGTATACCATCAAGTAAATCCATGTCTGATTAATTTTTTTTGACTTAATTCAGTTATTTATTTTTTAACTGAGATAACATTGGGGTATTCCCAGCAGGTGTTACCTCCATAATGTTGGCCTGATTATTTAGGGAGATTCTCTAGCTTGCCTGAGGGCTAAGCAAAGCTGATTCTTAATCAGCTTCACCATGTTCCCAAGCCCTGGAACTGGGCTCTCTGCAGCTGGTCTGTACTTTGGACTCTTCTAATCTTATCGTTAGTTTCAGGGAAGTCAGAGGTGGGATGAGGAGATGATTCCAATGGTTCAGTTTAGATAAACATGTTTAATCATGATGTGAGGACTGAGAGAGAAAAGAGTTAGCAAGTGCTGGTCTGGGAGCTTTACAAATATGGATTGTATCAATCCTCTCAAAAAAAAAAAAAAAGACCTATCATGCAGAAACTAAGTTTCCAAGAAGACATGTAAATTCCCTATATTTGCCCAGCTAGAGCATGTTGCAAGCTACCCAACATTTGCCTCTTCCTCATATTACCTCACAACACCAAACACAGTGAGTGAGGAATTTTCTGCCCACGAGTTGAACTACATATTCTAGAATCCAACTGGGAAATCTATTCCAGAGAGTATTACTTAAGAAAAAGGACAAAATGCCCAGACCAACTTCTGACCTCAAGCTGAATTGAGCAGGCTTTGCTAACTGTGGAAATAGCACCACTGTCCTCCTGATGTATCAACTTACTCTGAGCTGGTGGGTTGAGGCAGGTTTCCCCAAACTTGTCCTCAGTCTCAGGCCACTCCGGTGTACTGTCCTGCAGCCTTGTGAGTTCTTCCCTGGCCCTGCATCCCTGGATTTCATGTTCCCCTTCTCCTAAGAGGGTACATTTGTCATTTACAACCCCCTGCTGTTGTGGTGTCAGTTAAAGTAGCTCTTCTTTCAGAGATATTTACATTTGTAAGTGTCTTTGTGAAAAGAAAGGTTTTGTGAAAAGAATGTAAGAATCAGCCAGGGGCACTTGTTTGAGTTTTGCATCTCTGGTCCTGAAACACTCCTCAACCCCCTGAAATGATACCTTTTGGTCTCTTGTGTATGCTGCATCAAATGACCCAAGTTCTCTCAAACAGCAACAATCATCCTTTATTTTCTTAGTAAAATAATCAGAAGAATTCCAAAGAGCAAAGGTTTTGTTGTTTATAGATATAAAGTTCAACATAAACTCACTTGGTAGAAAACCCTGACCTGAAAAGGTAAGAATCTTTCTGTCATCTTTTATGTGTCAGTTAATGTAAATGTTCATATTTTTGCTGCAGAAGTAATGCTAGCAACTGCAATACTTCCTGAGATCTGGGGGTGCTGGGGACAACAATTTCCTGAGGGCAACAGCAGTGGCCTCAGACTTTTCAGATGAGGGTGGGCAGGCTGAGAGTGACAATGGCAGCTCAAGTAGTCTTCCTGCTGCCACTGCTCAGAGGTCACAACTGAATGGATAGGCAGTGAGAGAAAGTTAAATATCACAAATCTGTGTACAAGAGAAGCATTTATGAAACACCCCAGAGCATCTGTTAAGGCCTAAGCTTTTGGGGTAGAATCCAAAGACCTAGGGGACCAGGTGTGTAGGCATGAAAGTAAGATGAGCTGGTGCTTCAGAGACTTCCCAAATTACAGTAAGTTGCTACAGGAGATGATGAAACCTTCCCCGGTCAGCAGGACAGGACAGTAGCCCCTTGCCTGTGCTTGGTGTTGAGCGTGGAGCCTGAATTGGAGATGCTTAGGCAGTCAGGCATAGGAGGAAAAATATTCCACTTCTTAGTCAGAATCAGACTGGTTCACGCCTTCCAGTGGCTCAATCAGGAAGAGTACCCCGTCTTACTAAGGAGGAAAATGGAGTGTTGGAGACAGCGGGGTCATCTTAAGCTAACATTCAACAGGCAGGTGAAATGAAATAAAACAAGCTACACACCAATTACCTCCCCCTCCATGTACTTACTATTTGTGTGAGGTCTTCTACCAAAAAGTTCAGTGATGTCATCCATGATGAAAGCAGTTTCTGACTCCACAGGCAGAACACAACTTGCCCGGCACAGTGTTTTTATAATGTGAAACACTCAGTCTGAGACTCCCCTTGATATTCCTAGCAAACAGAGGTTGCCAGTTCAGCATGAGGTTCCAAACACACCGACTTAAAAATAGTGTTATTTCTCCACGGAGACTCAGGGCAGCAAGAGATTTGGGGGATCTCTATTGGGGAGAGTGTATGTGTCAATTTTGAAACTAATCAAGGGTACCCTCACCTTGTCCAGAGACTTCTACCATTTGCATAATTCTTTTCCCAAAGGCAGGCTCTTCTGTCTCAAGTCCTGCTTTGTGAAAGCCATTTTGCTCAGAGGAAGGTTTCTCCTCCCATGGTTCAGCATCTAGATAAAAAATGAAGGTTCCAGTGATTTTTCGAAACTTTCCTGTTAAGACAGCTGTCTCCGTGAGCTAGCTGTGTAGCTGGGGTAGACGATGGTACATAACAATGCTGCAACTTATTCCATGCCGACAATGTGGAAGCAAGCGTGGAGCTACACATTTAATCTTCCAAGTAGCTCTCCCAGGTAGATACTATTATCTCTACTTTACAGATAAGAAAACAGTATAAGAATAGAGGGCAGGGAGGGAAATAATTTTATGGGCACATGTCTATGTACATACCACAAAGATGCTAGCCATTGCAAATTCTGCCATAGCAATAGGAGCTTGGAGAAAGAAAGGGAAAAAATTATATTACACACGGATTTCATTTATCCTCACCACATCGTGAAGATTTAGAGACTTTATTGAAATCACATGGGTTTTAGAGACTTAACCTACATCTATTTGACTGGAGAGCTCAGTTCAAACAATACCTATTGAGCACGTGGAGCAGCTGTGTGATTTGAGTTCAAAAAACAACTTATGTTAGGTTGGAGAGGAGAGGAGTGCCACACCAGCTAGCACCTAGAAAGAATAAAAGGCAGGGGGCCTGAGTTGAAATGATGCCTCTAAGTGTGTAAGTAATGGTGGGTCATTTTAACCTCGGGGAACCTTAGTTTCTTCTAGAGAGTGAACAGTCCAACCAGATGCTCTCTGGGGTGATAGGCAGCACAGTCTTTGACTGAGCCCATGACCTTCTGTCGAAAGAGAAACATTAGTGGAGTAGGTGCACAGGCCAAATTTGGGGCTGTAACTTTGCCTCTGGCTTTCGGCACCGAGCCCACACATCCACAGTAATATTCCCATAGCTGCCCTCTCCACTCAAGCTGGTGGGGGCTGGCCCCTCAAGATAATAGCGTGCTTCCTGAGGGTCCCAGGGAGTCGGCATTCTGTATGCAAACACTGAAAACAATGGTCAGATTGATTTTTGCTGAAGTCACTCAGGACAATCCATCTGCTCAGAGTGGCACTAAAAGCTGAGCTCAAGAAATCCATTAATGGCTCCATCTGCTGTGCTATGATCTCAGCTTGTAGGGGGAAAGACCCTCCAGCCTTCCCGGAGGTTTCACCTTAGAAAACAAACGAGTAGAACTGGGTCTGTGAGCTTGAAATATTAACGCCGCTGGTCCATGGGAAGACCTGTGTGCCGGGGATCCTGGGATCTCAAGAGAAAAGGATCAGTTGGATCATTTTCTCTTATTCCTCTCCAATCATTCTTGTGATGCTAGGACATGAATAATAGATTATCTGAAAGAAATTCAAGAAACAAAGTCCAGGCGGACGCCAATGAGATATCATGTAACTTATTAAACACACTTCTCGTTCAGTTTGACACATGTCCATTCTGAATTTCCAGTCCTCCTGGACAATGGCTACAACTAATAGCTCTGGAAACTCAGTTGGTTGTGGGCTAGGAAAAATAGGGTATGGGGGGTGGGGGGAACTGACTTGCATTAATAATAAAGAGACATTTCAGGAACTAGATTTTTTTATCCCAGGACATCTCTACCACTATTGACACATAGAGAAGTCTCATTACTTCACAGTTCAAGGCTATAAGGTAGAAAAGTTAAGTGAAGCCTGATTCAATTAGAGCTCAAAGGCTTTGCTTTATTTCTAAGTGTCAAATAAAAGTCTGCAGAACTAGATTTGGACCCTTATTTGGCTATTTTGTGCAAATGTGATTAACTAAATTAACTCGATTTTTAAAGCCTCAGCTTCCTCGTCCGCAAGGTAAGTTTTGCCGAACTCAACAGAGAAAATATAGGCAAGGTATAATCAAAGTTGTAAGTTTGTAAGTTTCAGTTAACTCATTTTTAATTCAGATTTGTCTATAATGTTCTGAAACTTCCACAGTGCCTCTGAGAGAAGGTAGGTATTAAACATTTGATGCATGACAGTTACTAATAAATGCATGTAAGTGTGTGTGTGCGGTGTGTGCACGTGGGCTTGAAATTCATTTATTTTGGCTTAAATATTAAGTTCAGAGCTTCTAGTAGCTAAGTGTAAAAAGCAGACTTGAGAAACAGGCCTGGAGTGGAACATAATAGTAAGTGCTCAATAAATATACTTGATAAGTGAGTGAATGGAAAGAAGGCAGATTAATGGATTTTTCTTCTACTTCTTAGTGCTGGAGAAGAAGCCTCCACACCAGCCCTCCTTTGATGATGTCCACCGAGCAAATGCAGCCACTGGATCTCTCAGAGGACAGACTGGACAACCTCGACAATCGTCGCAGCCACTCAGGTAAAGGCTTCAGTCTGAATGTCAGAGTGGCAGTCAGAAAGGGGGTGTCTCTGCCATTTGGTTTGCAGGGGAAATCAGAGGTAGGCCCCCTGAATCCTGATAGTTTGTGCCTTGTGGTAACAGCCAACACCAGATGGACAGGCAAATAGCCAGGGGTCTGTGTGTTCTGCCATGTAAATATTAGCTAACGCACTGGAGAGAAGTTTATTAGAGTTAAAAAAAAATGATGAAAGGCATTGTCCCCTTTTTTTGGTCTGACCGAGTCCCAGGCAGAGCATTTTTGAGGCAATAAATGGAATGTGGCAGTATAGCTTGTTTCTAGTATTTCCCAGCACATTTACACTCCACGTGCAGTGCCAATAAAATATTTCAAATATCTCTCTTTGCCTATCAAGACAGAATTTTAAATAGCCTTTTTCTGCTTTATTGTCAATCTGTTTCCTTTCCAGAACTGACTTTTTGCATAACCTTTGTAATGAAAATACCAGAAACATTTCTGCCTCTACCCATTTCTAAAAATGAGACACTCAGACTTTTGATGGATAGGCCTTTTGCATATTCATAGTCTTTGTTTATGTCTCGCCTGGTTATGACTCCCCCCTCCACTCCCCTCTCCCTATTTGCCATCAAGATATTTTATGTTCTGGATTTCTCCAAAAATGGGAAAAAGTGTAATTGAAGTAAAAGTCAAAATTGAAGCAAATGCCTTGCTCTCTGTACTGTGCCCTGAGTGGCCTCTTGGGGTTGACAAGTGACACATGACAGATCCACATCCAGCCTATACCTCCAGGGACCCCACAGCTGGCCAACATCCATTCTGAGCAACATTCATTTATTAAAAAGAAAAAATAGCTATGCTATGTATAATTCAGGAGGAAGTTAACTATGCTATGTGGTAATAATTTTTTTTAAATCCTTTGTTAGCCAGATAGTATAGTCCCAAGACCCTGGGTTTAGCTCTGATCCTGTACCCTGCCAGCAGAATCATCTTTTTATTTGCTCTTTTGAACCTCAGTTTCCACATCTGCAAATTGGGCTTAGTTATGGAATTCTAGCTTTCTGTGTTAGTATATGTGTTCAGGAAAGGCTACTAAAGTGCTCTGCAGAAGAGGCCCAAATAAATCAATACTTTGCTTTTTCAGACCAAATGCCTTATGCCTTTGTTATCAGATAGAACTGGAAACTAACCAGTTTGTGAATGGACCCTGACACATGTTGTATTCTTTATTTTTGCACAACCTATCAAAACCAGATGATCTTTCAGACCAATTCATTAAGGACTGTGATCTCAAAAGGAAGCCAAGAAAGGGGAAAAATGCACAAGTCACCCTGAACGTTGAGTCAGACCAAAAAAAACCCAGGAGGAAAGACACGCCGGCCTTGCACATCCCCCCTTTTATACCAGGTAAGGACAATGAGGTCCTTTGCACACCTTGACAGGAAACCACTTGCCATGAGATCACATTGTTTTTGTGAATTTTTCCTTAAATATTGTATTATTTGTTGCACTCCCTGTATCTGTCTTAATTACAATATAGCTGACTGCTATAACTGATAAACCCTTAAAATAACAGTGACATAACCAGCACACGTGAGTTTGTTTCACTTACCCCGGTGGGAGTCAGGGTGGGAAAGCAGGCTCTGCTTCAAACAGTCATTCAGGGCTAGTGCCTGATGGAGGGTCGGCTGTCAGGCGCGTATGGCTTCCCTGGTTGTCGTGAGCGTCCACATCCAGCAGACATGGGGGAGACAGGATGTAGGGTTGATGGGCCTGGAAGTAGAATGCATCACTTCCTTCTGTCACAAACTTCTTGACTGCAAGGCAGGCTGGCATGTGTAGCCCCGCAGAAAAGTAAAACAGTTTGGCAAACAGCTTCAGAACGTGTGACATGTGATATACTCTTGTTCCCAAAAGTTTTATTTCCTTTTCCCCTTTGCTCCTCACCATTTATTTTATATTCTCTCTATTCACAACCCACTTGGAAGAATACAAAACAAATGGCACACATTTGCTGGGAACTTACTGTTTTATAAAAAATAACAGAAGCACCCAAATAGCTGAAATACACACTAGGAAGTAACTTAATGGAGGTCCTCAGATAAGGCCGCCCAAAGGCTCAATCTGGGTTGAGAATTATAGAAATTTTTCAACAGAAGGTTCACTTTTAGAGAGTTTGTAAATGATGGAGAAAATTTTCACGTGCAGAGGAGAGGTGAGAGGTAGGTGGGTGCAGGCAGAATACTAATGGAGTCATTGAGGTGGGTGGCAGGGGGCTTGTAAAACAGCAGATCACCCACCACGCTGACGATGGACTTTGGAGGCAGACAAGCCTGGGCTCACACCTGGCTCTGACACCAAGATGAGCTGTGTTACCTGTGTTACCTCAGCTCACGTTCCTCAGATGTGTGATAGCAGTGACGGGAAATTGCTCAGGGCCTTGTGAGGCAAAAGTGAAATCAGGCACGTGAAAACCCTTTGCATAGGAGGTGGTCTCTTGTGTGGTCTTATTAATTCTTAGTATAAAGAAATGGCTATTATAAAAATAAGTTTTAAAGGGGTATGACTTCTGTTACCTGGTATATGTGCAAATATGGATGCTCAGTCATCAGGTATGAGAACAAAGTATCTATTTGACCCCGTCTCTCCCTCTGTTCCCCTAACTATGCAGGTGTGCTTTCAGAACATTTAATTAAAAGATATGATGTCCAAGAGAGACATCCAAAGGGCAAAACAAGTCCAGCTCTTCATAACACTGACCTGGAACAGAAAAAGCCAAGGAGAAAAGACACACCTGCCCTGCACATGTCCCCCTTTGCAGCAGGTAAAAGAGCTGGTGCAGGGTATTTGCAGGGGGTGATGGGAAAAAGGTCAAGAGCCTTACCATCTGGAGGTGCTGTGGGATTGGGCTTTCTCCTGGCCCGGCAATCTGTGTCGTGTGGATGTGCCCCGGGGAGGAACAACATTTATTGCTGCCTTTCAGGTTTACCTTTATTGGCGGCTCCCCGGGGGCTGACCTGGATATTTGGAAGGGGTCGAGCATTATTCACACTTCAGCAGAACTGATAAAATTCACTGAGACAATGAAACAGAAATGTCGATGGGTCCTTAAGAGGAGTTGAAATACCCTCCTCTCCATTCTTCCATGGATCATGCCTCCTGTGGCTGATGGCTAATTCTCCCAAGACACCTGGACATATTGAACAAATCCTCAAAACAAGAGAAAGAGAGAGAGAGCGAGAGACAAAAAGAGCGCGATGCAGATGTGTGCATAGCTATCTTAATATGCGACAAATCAAACCCAAAACTTTTGCTATGCTCACCAGCCCAGCTGATAAGGCAGTCAGTGTATGATACACAGTCCTTGTCCCTGAGAAGCTGATGTGCAAGTTGGAGAATAAGATGGATATTTATTCATGATTAAAGTATGACTGAGGGGTGTGTGTGTGTGTGTGTGTGTGTGTGTGTGTGTGTTTTGTAGATGGTGGTTTGCCAGGATGAAAGGAAATGATGTTCATTGAGCTCTTACTAAATGTGACTTTGTAACTGGCATGTTTCACAGACTTTCAAAATTCAACTCAATAACACAATAAAGTTACTGTTGTCTCCCTTTACAGAGAAAGAAACTGGGAGAGAATTTAAGTAACTTACTCAGTCTTTTTAAAGTCTTATGTGAATGAAGTTGATGGATGCTTTGCTGAGCGTCTGACTGGCGGTCCTGAGGATGGGTTTGTGACTGATGATGGCTAGATGAAAGGATCAAATTATGCCCAAGATCAAACACTAATATTTGGCAGAGCTGGGGTTCAAAGCCAGAACTCTCTCACCTTTGGGTAATTTTTCATCATTCTGTGCTATGGTTTATACATATAGCACTACAGGGATTCAGAGGAACACTTGTGGGAGGAAATGAGACTTCCTTGCTATTATAAGCCATGTTTGCAGTTATTTGGAAAGACAGCTCAGAAGGAGACATCCTGCAGTCAAGGATGAAGTCAGGGTTACTGTCTTCTGAGGAGCAGAGCTTGGCTCTGACATGAGGCTGTGACATGAAGAGGCCCTTCTTTTTTTTTTAAGATTTATTTATTTACACAAGCACTGGGTACAGTCAGAAGTGTGGGAGGGTGAGAGAATTCACCAGAGCCAGAGCGGAGAGCAGAGCAGGCAGAAGGACCGAAGTACACTGCTGAGGGGAGCAGCGGGTGGCAGGAGAGGTCTGCGCGCCGTATGGGACCCTCCTGGTGGCCGGGGATCAAACCGGCGCTGCAGAGGCTGCGGGCAGCTTCGCAACCCAGCGCTCAACCACTGCGCCACTGGGGAGGTCCGAGGAGGCCCTTTTTTAGAGAAAAGGACCAAGGACCATTTGGGAGCATCTGAACCTGCCTCACCATCATAGATACAGACATTCCTACCTACACTCATCTTCCAGCCATTACACATTCCCTCAAGGTCTGCTTCTGTCTGAGTTCCAACCAACTTTCAGGACTCTGTCACCTCAAAGTCTCTGCTAATAGACGTTTCTAAGTCCAAAATGAATCTTGCCTATTGTGAACTAACTGTGCTACCCAAAGGCATGCAAGCACCTTTGCCCTGCTGTCTCTATTAGTACCCTTCTTGTTGCTCTTATTTCAATTAATTTACATCAACAACTTGTTTGGTGAATGTATGAGAACTTTGATTGCCCTGTGTTGGTGATATTGACCTTGTTGTCTAGTCCAGTCCTTCTATACGACAGTGCTCAATAAGGATCTGTGGAGTCAGTTTTCTATATGGCAGTCAGAAGTCTGTGGCTGCAAATTCTCCATTAAGAGACTGATTACTTTCTGCTAGTTTTTCTATCTCTTTTTTACTGAAGTTTGGTCTAGGAGAAGACTTGATAGAGGAGCAAAAATGAGCAGTGAGTCACCTTAGTACATAGCATGAAGTGAAAATGTGGGGATCAGAAAAGTCTAGGTTTGCCTCTCATTCTGTCCTTTCTAGCTTTGTGACACTAAGTAACTCACACAAACTATAAGCCTCCTTTGTTTTACCCATCTCTGAAGAACATCCAGAAAGTATCTTTGCCAGGTTTGTCAACACAATTAAATAAAGTATATAGAGCAATTAGCACATTTCCTGGCTCATTGAAAGTCTTCAGTCAGTGTTGCCCCCCCCCCCATTATCTGTCCAATCTTAGGTTCTTTGAGATAACTCAAACATTTCTAAAGGTGACAATGTTCCTGGCTAGAGTGTTTTATCTTTCTCTATAAGCTTACTGATTCAAGGACCTTCTTAAGGAGTTGAGCTCTGTATACCTGAAAATGTGTGCTAGCTACAGCCCAATCCCTATAGCCAAAAAGAGCTGCTTTCTGGGTGAATAAAAAATGTTTATCAAACAGTACGACATACACAGAATTGAAGAGGGGGACTGTATATCCATAGACTCAGTACACATTATGGAAACCCTTGAATCAGCAAATCTCTGTGTTACAAGTATTTGCAGTTATAGATAGTGTTCTATGATTCTAGCTTTTATTAGCATATTAGCTGAAGCACTTTATTTTTGAAGAGCCTGTTAGTATCTAAAGATTTGGCAGTAATCGAAATGCTAGTTAAGCTGCTAAGGATGGAGTCTTCAGCAGATGCTCAGAGAGACTCACATTGCTTCTAACAAGGGTGTTGAGAGAAACTCACAGACAAATGCACTCCAGAGGAAACTCCTCTCATTAGCCCTTGGCAAGTGAAGACTGGACAAGGATTCACTCTCTCTTCTAAATCTCTTGCTAACTACCTTCGCTCCCCCAGGTTAATGAGCTTATTTGACAGGTTCCAACTGCCAGAGAATTCCTTAGTGAGATGTAGTTCCAGTCTTCTTTGCCAGCCCAAGGTCTGCTCAAACTTGGCCCATGGTTTCCAGGGCTCCTATCTTGAAAGCTGCATGACAGGGAGCATCGGGTTGTGATTGGTCAGATCTGGGTAGCTTCAACCTGCATACAAGAGAATTTTCTAGTTGAGGTGTGTAAGGAAAAACCAAAAGGATAACTAAAGAATAAAGAGGCTGGAAGCCCTGAAGTGGAGCCTCTTGGAAACTGACTCACGAGCTATGAACATGTAGGATTAAGCAGCCTGCTGCACTTGTAGATGGGGAGGATCTGTGCTTTGAAAGTGACACCTCTTCTGGCCTGCTGGGAACAGAGCATCATGTCTGGGTTGGTTTACCAGGAAAGGTGGTATCTTAGCCCTATCTCTTTTAGATCAGAGGTGCATATTTTTAATGCTTTATGTGTTGCTCTGGGTGAGATCATGAACCACCACAGCTTGCTGCAAGGCTGACTGACCCTCAGGTCTTGAACTGACAGCTTTGGCCTTCAAAACATACCAAATTCTAACAGGCAGTCAAGTTGCTCAACTCTTCTTCATGGAGAGTGGAAGAGTAGAAAACTAATGTTCTAAATCCTTATTGTATTCCAAGTTCTGTGATTTTTGTTAGCATATTCTTTTGAAAATCTCACAATTCAGTGAAGGAGGTACATGTAGTGTCCAATGATTCTCACAACATAAGAAGGACCTTAAAGGTTCATGTGAGGTGGGGTGGAAACATAAAAGAATGTTGGCCTAAATCTGATGGTATCATCTGCTAAAGAAATTATTTTTCTTTAATTTTACAGATGAATGAACTGGGCTCAGATAGGTTTAAGTGACCAGCTCGAAGTTGAATAACCACTTAAATCAAAGTGTTCTGGATCTAAAGTCTATGTTCCTTTCAATGACACACCACAGCTTCCCACAGGAGAGCATGACTATCAGGATGGGGTTAAACCAGACAGACCAGTGCTTATCAAACCTTGTTCAGCAACCAGTCACCAAAGCCAATGATAAGGAAGTATCAAATATAAGAATACAATGATGACTCACAGATGCTACTGATTTACTTAGAATCTCAACTGATTTCACTCTCTCTCTCTCTCTCTCATTTTATCTCAAAATCCAAGTGTCTTTGATAACATTCCTAAGATCTTTTAGCCTCGTCCTAAAAAACAATATCCTTGAATCAAGATTTTGATGAGCTATTGTATTTTTTTAATGTCTTGTAAGACATTAAAAGGCATGCCTGGCAATCCTGATACAAAATACTTGTTCCCGTTCCACTTGAAAGCATTTCCTTTGCCACTATGGAAAACCTAACCCACTTTGGGAAAGGGCTGACCTTGATCTTGATAATTAAGCAGGTTCATCTCTTCTCCCTTCTCTGGGATCCCAGAACCTTTTTTTTTTTTGGTACAGATGCTCCTTTGCCTAGGTTTCAAGGCTACCCAAAATAACCAGAAAGTTGACCAGGACCTGAAAATTTAAAGGCTCTTCTCCACTTTAAATCAGCCCAAACTTAATATAAAGAGATGTCAAGGAAAGTAGGATAGATAGTTTAGGGGCTCAGCATAGCTAAGTGTGTTCTCCTACCAAGATAGCCTTAATGCCAAACAAGAATCCAAACTCTGTGCAGCTGTTATAAGAGCAAATATCCCCCACTGTTTCTCATAAGTGATTTATGCAAAAGCCTTAGTTTCAGCCAGACTCTTGAAATTGTTTTTCTCCTCCAATAAATATCAGCTAATTGGTAAAGAACCCATATGAACAAACTAGAAACTGAATCAAATGAATAGTCATTAAGATCAGCACATAGTTTTCATTAATTTGCTGCTGTTGAATGGAGTCCAGTGTTGTAGAAAGGGCCTCTTGTGGTGCACAGCTTTCCTCCCACAAATTTAGATCTTTATGAAATGCTTCATGAATGGAAAGACCTTTAATTATGAGAAGGAAAAGGGGTGGTGAAGGCAGTGGTGGGGAAACAAAACTGGCTGACTGGAGTGGGATGACAGAAATCTAGGAGGACTGGTATTGAATCACAGTTTCCTTGTCGTTTTATTAAAGTGACCCTACTTCACATTCACAGGATGATCAGAACCACCCAGAATGGCCTCTTTGGAGGGTCTTTTTGGGGGTCTATCAGCCCAGATAATTATTTACAGATTTCTAAATTTCACAGCCCAGTAAACTTTTAAAAGCAAAGCATTATGGATCATAATATAAGGAGAAGTATCCCTTTTAATTTTGCCTATTAAGGAACTTTTAAAAAGCCCAACCACCTAACACCTCTAAAATTTCATAAGAGAATAATCTGAAAATAAGGAACTGTATAAAATTGTAGCCAAATAGCTTATGAAAAACTCACTACACTTTTCTTATTTTCTCATTCGGCTCTGAACTATGTAAACTTTAGTATCTGTTGGTACTGACATTTAGAAATGGCATGTTCGGAGCCTCAGCTCAATAATTTTCCCAGATGTTAGTAAAATCTGTTTAAGTTTGACTTCTTCAGGTTTACTTACCAGTTCTTCTCAAAAGGAAAATAAACTAACAAATTGGGAAAGGAAAGGAAAAGCTGTCTTGGTAGCTCTATGGGGTGGCTCTGTGCTAAGCAGTGACACACTCCTTACTTATAACAATAGCCCTTTCCACAAGTGCTAGTGTCCTTGATTTGTATTAGAGAAAACAGAGGGTGGCTTTGCATTGACTGGGAGGCAGACTGAGAAGTCCAAAGCGCTAGACTCCAAATCTATGCTTCCTATTCTTCTGTGCAGCAAGCCTGGGATCCACGGTAACCAGATGCCCCAGTTGAGCACCCCAGTTCCCTGGTAACTAGAACAGCATCCTCATTGAGCCACAGCCCCTTTAGGAAAACCAAGTAAGGACACTGACTCCTTCTATCTTGGTTGGCACCTGTAGTTATTAGTTCTGAAAAACTAAAAGTTTTCTAGGTTGTTGCACTCCTGTGTACTGTCTCTGCTATAAGATTGTTTAATATTTTAATTAGAGTCCTTAATTGCAGGTCTGTGCTTTGTTTTGCAGGTGTCACACTGCTCAGGGACGAGAGACCCAAAGTGATCATGGAAGATGACGAAAAGGATAGCGACAAGATAGCTATTTAAAGATACTCCCCCTGAGATCACGTGTAAATAGGTTAGATTGGTTCCCTATGGTGACCTAGAAAAAAATAGACATGTTTCTGCTCTCATTTTGTCATAGTTTGCCTTGAAGATCCAGACACCCTTTCCCCACGAGACATATGATATCAAATTGCTGGTCACCTCTTTGTCTTTCTTCTTCCTTGAATATGGTTTCTATCCCTGCCTCTTGAATTTTCATTTTGTAATGCAGTGGAAAGGAATCAGGCATTCCCACATTAGAAGATAACAGGGAAAATTCTAGAGTTCAATTTTCACATCTTCTGGATAAATTCATGGAGTAAAGAACAGAGATCACATGGAAATCCAGTATTTCATGATTTGTGCTGCTGAGTAGAACTTGACTAAATGTTATCCGAACACCAGTCAAGTGGGGGCTCCCTATGACCAGTTAGGGAGGTAAGAATATTTGGGTCCTAACCCACTGGAGAACATGGACCTGTCTGTTATTCTGTTTCAAATCCAGGTACCTCTGGTGACATTCCTGAGATCTTTGTATTGTAACTGGTACCCCAAAGTTGAATATGTGAGCTGGGTTGTTATCCCAGCCACCTATACCTTGGCTATAAATACCAGAGGTAGAGCATACTGGTCTATGTGGAGAACTTCGCAGTATGTCCTAATTATTTTTATTTTTTAAAATGTTTCTTAATCACATCCTGATTTGTGAGTTGGGTCACAAGTAAACTGCCACAAAGGACAGGTAAAATACCAGTGTTTGTGATGACTTTACTTTTAAGAAAATTAAGTTGGGAGGAACTCATAACTTTAGCATTCTCACTCATTTAGACCCCAGTATGCCTTCTTGAATAGGAGGGAAAGATGTGATGTTAGCTAGTTAGCAAGGGTCTATCTAGAACCCCTGCTCCAACCTGCAGTCTGTGGGTGTCATGGGAAGGTTTTGCACAAGGGCCTCATCTACCAGGTGATGGAGTTTGGGACAGGTGAAAACTACTTCTCAGAGGAAGAGAGGTGACTATTCAAACAGATCCTGCCTAAAAGTGATAACATGGAAGCTCTGTCTAGACTTTGTTCCAACAGTTTAATGTCTTCTGTCTTTCTGTCCACCATATAAAGGTGGAAAAGATACTGGATCCTACTGGTGATAAAGGTACTTCTACACAAATCTTTATGTTCTCTATGTCTACTTAAAATTATAAAGAGCAGAAGTTGAAAAAGACATTCACTTAGTTGTTGTGCATATTTGTTTTGGCCCACAGAGGTTTAAAAATGATTGAATTAGCCATTAATATTTAACAGGAGAATTTTCTTAACATTCTAGATTTCCACAATCTCTAGGAAAAAATACCTGAAGGTCTGCCAACCCTGGACCTGATTAGAAACATAGCAGCTGTGAGCTGGCACTGAGCACTGGATGCCCTTTTCAAAGGAACATACATTCTCCAGCTCCCAACCTGGCAGTTTTACCACCACCCCAACTTGAGTTGGGAGCCCCTGAGGAAGACCCACACTTTGTGATCCTAATGCTCTCTCATCTCTTTGACCCCAGGGCTCCATTTTCTTTACTGAGTGTCCAAATCACAGCCTCAGGGTGAGGGAATAAGACTGTGGCCAGGTTGATGGTTGAGACATAAGTGGTAAAACAGGCCACTGTAGAGTCTTTAGGAAGTCCAAAGCCATTACAGGTATGTGAGAATGGGATTATATCACAACCAGCAGCAATTTTCACCAAGGGATTCTCGCAGAAAACACAGACACTCCCTTATCCTATCAGTCACTATGTACACACAGCATACTCCTGCACACCCACACACCAGGGTCACTAAACTCAAAGGCTGCACAGAGGAGCCCCCCTGTTTCTGCTTTCTGCAGTGGGTGGAAGTAGATGGGCTGCTGTAAATACAAAGACCTTGAGTTGTGGCCCCCACTGAGGACACTGAGCAAGTCCCTGGAACTTGCTCTGTTTCCTTATCAAAAGGAGGATAATAACAGTACAAAACACAACAAAGCAAAAATGGACAATTATAAACCAGAGACATCCTGCAGGGGAGGAGGAGGGAGAGGGATCAGAGGGAGGGAGGGAGGAGCACAGGGGACCGAGGTGATGGTACGCAGGTGCATTGGGGAAGGAAACTATGGGGACTACACCAGAAGGGGGGTTGGGGAAGCAAATATTGTTTAAAAATGAACAATGATGTAAAAAATTTAAAAAATTAGTATTTTAAAAAAAGAAGGATAATCATCTCTACGTTGCTCTCTGTATAGTTTGAGAATTAAATGAGCTAATGTCTGGCAAAGGACATTGTGAACTGAAAATGTCCTATCCATCTGTAACGCAGGACAATTTTAGGACACCTTCAGATTGCGGACTGTGCTTTTTCTGTTGCCAAATCTCCATCCCCTGGCTTTTAAATGGGCAGTAGTGATGTGCCATTGACTCACAACCCCGGAAGAAGGACTTCAAGTAGGAATAGACTCTCACGGGTATACAGTACAGACTTAACTGAAAGCCCAGGACTCCCTTTTCTGGGAAGATGATTTTCATAGTAGTCCCAGCCTCAAAGGAGCATTCACGGAATAGTGAGGGCCAAAGCCAATCTAACCAACCCTGGACATCACAGGGGTGATTTGGATAGTTGCCAAATCTCTCTCACTCCCCTTGATCCACATGACCATTTTCTGGGTAAGGTAGAGATTTAATCATCAGGATTATACTCCGATTAAAATAGTTTTCCGTACACTGTGAGTAACTGCCCTCTAACCAAATAATAGTTACATTAAAAAAATAAAAGCAATACATGGTAATCCATTCAGAAAGAAGGGCCAAATTAAAGATGTCTCAAGAGAAGTGGCAAACCAATTGGCCATTTGTTCATTCTGAAGGCATTTAGTTCAACCCCAGGCTACCTAAGATGAGGAGACACAGATATGAGATGTTCATCTCTTCTTCAAAAGCTCCGCATGGGATGGGTGCCTTTTGTTAAATCCAGACCCCCTTTAAAAGCTATTGCCTGAGATCACAGTCAACTTCTAATGCCTAATTATCACTTGGTGAGGCAGAAGCTGGTGCTGAAGGATCAGGATAGGACCATAAAGGATTCAAGCAGTGTTTCCTTTTAAATGCAATTAAGTGAATTTCCCCCTCAGAGCCTGCGCTGTACAGGTTGTTTTTCTTAAAACAAGGATGGACTGAGATAGCATGTGGATATGAAAATATGTTAGTCAGGCAATTATTTTCCCAGCTGAGAATCAGAGGCAAGTTACATGATGGATGCTCTAGAAACTCTTGTCATCTTGTATAATATAAATGAGTCTCCCTGGACACTTGTAATTTGTAAATATGAAAATGTTTCTCAGAAAACTCCCCGAGGTAGTAAATGAACACATAGGAAGTGGCAAACTGGTACTATCCCCTTCTCCTGGACACAGGATTGCTTTTCAGCTGGTTTTAATATATCCTCTCTACAGAGATTCAGAACACCATCCTGACCGTAGTTTCCAAAAACCCAGGCAGAATACTCTCCACAGAGAAGTGTATTTATAGGGAAAACAACATACATACCAACTGAACTGAGTTCTACCCTGGAAAATCCAAGACAGCAGCTTAGCCTTCTCAAGGAGAAAGTGATGGATTATTTGTGTCTTTCCTCTCCACTCCATCATCCATGTTACCCGTTCTCTACTTTGCTGCTAGAGTGGCCTTTTCAAAACACAAATCTGAACCTGTGAGACCCCTCCTTAATGTCTTGTGCTTCCTTAGAATAAAGGTGTTTGCCTTTATTCTAAGGTAAACACCTCTAGGCTGTTTGCCTCCACCTTACTCCCTCCAACATTTTCTGTGCTCCAGGGACATTGGCCCCCTGATGGGTTCTTAATATATGGGGTGCTCCCTCCTACTGCAGCATCCTCCCATTGCCAGGGACTCTCCTCTCTCCTCCCCATGCCCCAGCCCCAAAACACCCTGGTCCTGCCCTTCCTTCAGAGCTCAGAAAAATGCCACTTCCAGGGGAAGAGGGTGACTCTTCCTCACCCTATTGATCAGGTCAGTTTTCCCCACTATTTGTAGTTTCTCTAATTGCCCTGTTCTTTTCCTTCATAGTTCTTACCTCTAATAAGTGTAACAAGGTGGTCTCGGGAAAGGGGGAGTTTCCAGTTTCCAGCCCCACCCAAAAGGAGGGTAGAGCTGAGCAGGGAGAGAAGAGGCTGCAGAGGAGACTGAGGAAGGAAGGAAGCAGGAGGGAGAGCCAGAAGGAGACAGACCTGGATGAGGCACATGGAGCAGAGAGACACATAAAGAAACTACACTTGCCTTTTGGTCGTGGACTGGGTGACACAGATGTGGGTGAGAGACCCGTGGGGAGGTGACAATGGCGGGTTTTGTCTTGATTTTGCTCTTTTCCCTCCAGAATTGTCTGGTTGTTTCTGATCCTTTTCTGTGGGTCCCCACTGGAAAATGCTTTAGACTTGTGACAGGCTTTGGGGCCTTGTTCTGGGCCAATCCTGCTTGGGTGGACTTTTACCCATGAGGGAACGGGTAAATTTGGGTACTTGATTTAGAAACTAGATTCTTTGCCTTTCCTGTATTGTTTCCTAATTGTATTAAAGTTCCTTCCCATTAAAGTCTCCTATGTTTTGTGTTGATGCGGCGGATGGCAGAACCTATTTAGAGCAGGCAGGTTTGCGGGGTCTGGGGTACCCCTCTCCCTGCCCTGTAACAGATCTGGAGCCCAATGTGATTTGGGACAGAGCCATCTGTGGTTAGTCAGCCACATGGGGAAATTGGGCTTCCCTATGGCACTGGCTACCATAAGCACAAATGTGATTTTTGGTTTCTCTAGTATGTTTGTTTCATATGTAGATTTGCTGTTAAAAAACTGGCTTGAGCTCTGTGAAAATTCGGTGTGTCTGTCTGTAATTTGTAGTGACTTTCTAAGAGACTTGATTTTGTGGAAATTGTTCTGTGCAACAGTTTTACTCAAAAGATTAGGTAGTGGCTTGGACCATACGGCCAGATCAAAGATGGCGTCTGAGGCCACTTGGCAGGCTCTTGTAAAACTCAGGAGTTCTTGTTACTAGGACTTTGGACCTTTTTTCTTTTTGTGATCTCTGCTGTCTCATTAGCATTTCTAAAGGCAATAATGATTCTTCAGTGATATGTTGCTTTGTCTTCCACTATTTCCTGACCTCTGCCTGAGGGGTTTCATTAAAGTCTCCTGCTTTGTGTTGATGCGGTGGATGGCAGAACTTATTTAGAGCAGGCAGATTTGCAGGGTCTGGGGTACCCCTCTCCCTGCCCTGTAATATAACTCTTATAAGTCCTGATCTCTTTTTTTCTGGTCATCCATTAATCAAACTGATTAATGTCTGCCTCCTCACTGTTGTGCAAGGTCCATGAATGCAGGGATTGCATCTGGTTTTGCATACTTATCCCCTATACCTGACACAGTTTTTAGCATGTTGTAGATACTCAAGAAATATCATTGAGTGAAAGAGTGAGAGAGTGAGTGACAAATGAACACTTTGCAAGAAGCCATGCCTGGTAGTCCAGGTTTAGGCCACCTGCCTAATTGGAGGGACACTAAGCTATGAATTGAGTACAAATATTAACCACAACAAGCTGGTCTGCTTCTTGGATCCCACAACCTCCTTATAGTACCAGGGAGTGCTCTCATTAAGCAGCCCCCCTCTTCAAGAACAGTTTCCTGTTACTAAGTGGCCTCCCACTTGGGAGTCAGAAAGGGGGAGGGAGGGGCAATAACCTGAGGGCATGAGTGTCTCAGAAGGCCAAGGATAGGAGCTCACAGATGCTGGAGTTGTGGAATGTCAGCAGGAGGGGAAAGCAAGGGCTGCTGTGTTCCTGTGTGTAAGACTTCTGCTTTGTAAGATGTTGGCTTATCACCATATGTGCTCACTCTTGCAGTTAAATAGTATAAGAAGGAAATGCCAATCATCATTGACATTTGATAACTAACAAAATGACAAGGGAATGTCTAAGATGTTGGTTTGATTGTGTAAAGATACTTAACAATTTCACTAACAGCCTTTGAGGGAAGAGTTTATTATTCAGATGTAATATCATTACTGCAATAGTAGTTAGGTTCCTCATTAATTATCTGTGAAGACATTTTTGCTCTACCTTTTTTTCTAATCATTGAAGGAATCTCTACGACACTCTTTCCAGTCTGTTAACTTTGCAGCACAGATGTTCTCAACT